AAAGATTCTTACAGTCAATAACCAGCTAGATAGAGCCATTATTATGAAAATATATGAACATACTTAGCTATGTTTACATTAAAATTTCAAATAATTCAACCTTTTAAGATTTTTAACATTAAATTGATCGTATTATAAATTTACGTGTTCAAATCTATAATTATTATTATATCGACGCAACGTCAAAAAAAAAATTCAGATGATGAAAAATATATGGACTATACCCAAATGAAGTGTGGGATTATACAATATGATTTGGCTACATTTAATAGGCTGAATTAATTATTTATTTGAGATTAAAGTGATAACAATATTTTAGGAAAGATGAGGATAATGTAAGTGGACAAGTATATGTTTTCTCCATTTATTTCAACAAAAAATATCTAAGTTCTCCAATAATTCATTCAACAAGCCCATTAAATATTGACACATCATATTGTATAATGCTACACTTCATTTGTGTATAGTCCACATATTAATATATATATATGTGTGTGTGTGTGTAGCCCATAAGTTGGAACAATTAAGTAAATGTGGCAGTTTATTTTTTGTTCTTTTACTTATATATTTGTGTGTTTGATAGATGACTTATAGTTAGGAATAATAAATGATGTCTTGCAATTAAATAGACAAAAGTAGGGTATAATAAGGTTTTGATATAGATGAATTTCACATTCGTTAGTAATGATGAAAGATATCGATTTAAGTTGTGATGCAGAAATTGCTTTATCTGTATTTAAAGATGTCGAATTCGAGCATAAATATGAAAAAAACTTAGAACATTGTCTGGACACTTGTTGGTGTTTATGCATTTCAAAATGTTTGTTTCTTTCTTTTTGTGTTGTGGAAAAATATTATTATAGTGTGTAATGAGATTAGTATTATGAAAGAATGAGCTAAGACAAAAAATATATATATATATTTTAAGTTCCAACATATTTACTATTTATAATTAAAAAATAACTACAGAGAAGGAAGATGATCTTTTAAAGGAAAAAAGTCTCAAATATAAACGAATTTTGATCGAAATCATTGTTACGATACCAAAATTTGGCAAAGAACCTTTTGCCTCCGTCACATATTTGCCTTGTTTGAGTTCTGGGATTTCCATAAATTTTCTTAATTTTTCTTCCTCAAGTAATCTTTGTTGATATAGGAATTGAGAATTAGTTAGTCATTTAAACTTCTCATAAAGATAATTTTAGGTGATATAATCATATAATATTCAGAATTAATTGGTTCGATTAATTTAAATATAAGATTTATTTGAAGAAAAAGTACTTTTACCAGTGATTTTTTTATTTTCGTGATTTCAACTTTATTTCTTGATTAAACTCACTAAGATAAATGAAGTGTACCGATATATTATGTGAGGCAATGAGACGAGCAAGAAGGAAACGCGAATTGACATGACTAAATCCAGAATGTGGCACTAACAAAATCAATCAACAAGAAAGAATATATAACTTGTTGGATCTCGAAATTATAACTATGTCAGATAAATTGATATAAAGGAAGTATATATAGATATGCAAATGCATTAACAATATAAATTAGTGCTGAATTAGAGGAACTAAATAATATTAAAGAATCTTTAAGTCTATTACTAACAACTAAAAACCTTTTTATATTTTCTATTGATAAGATAAGATAACCATTTATGTTTTTGAGGGTTGGACTCACTTTGTGATTCAAAGTCTAACTATATTTGTTATGAAAATTAAATACTATTTATTTTTTAAAAATGGAATTGAATAATGTTGAAGTTATGTTTAATCATATCTATTTTTCTAATTATAAAATCTATTTTACTTTTTTTTTCTGAATATAATTTATACCTTAATTTTTCTACTATTTCATCTTTTTAGGGCAGACCTACCATATGTATAAAATATATTTAATATTGAATTAAGTTAAAGTAATATTTATTTACAATTATATTTTCGGAGCAAAAATACTTTGATATTATCCACAAAAGTGTTAATACCAAAATGTGCATTCACGTTCAAATATTATTATCACGTGAGATTGTGCATCTATCTTGAATATATAATTTTAACAAAAAAAATGTGAGTAATAAATAATAATAAATTAAAGAAGATATTATTAAAAAAAAGTTGTATATATGTTAAATAGATATACAGCTATAGTCTCGTATAATTATGAATCATGGCTACAATTTTAAAAAAATTGCAATAAACAATTTTAGGTATTTATATAAAATTTATTTGTATATATGGTGGGGCTTGCAAACAAAGTTGTATACGTGTGAATAGATAAATCGTAGCTATAAATATTTATTTTTAATGGTAATTAATAATTTTTATTTGCTATAATGCTTGCATACTAATAAGAAATCCAACTCACATTTATATATCAAACATATAAAAAGGGACAAAATATTAAATAAGTATTTAGGATTAATAATATGCATTTTATATACTAAGGGGTAATAATGTAAGCAAATACTTTTTTTCCCCTTTTAATTGTTAAGTTGTGCTTTTCTAAAGTCAACTTGACTAATTTTTAAATTAAAATTAGATTAATTTAATTCGATATTTTAAACAAAATATTATAATATTCAAAAACTATATAAAAAATATTATAACTTGTCGGTTTTTGCATATCAATAAGATAAAAAATATATCATAAAATTTAATCAAAATTCTTATTAGTTTACTCTAAAAAAAATTATGACAATTAAAAATATATGAAAGGAATAATTTTTTACGATTAATAATTTATCCAATAAAAAATTAAATAATACATTTTCATACCAATAAATCGGTAAATATAAATTTTAATGTGTCAATAAATTAATTTTACCATCGATTTATATTCCATTTTCAACGTAATGAGTTGTCATGGTCAGAGAAAGCTCTCAATATTAGTGATCACGACTCACGAGAGCTATAAGGACTCAAAGAATTGGCAAGGGGTGCACCTAGTAGTATAATAATAGGTGCAAATTTCGATAATAATAAAAAGAGTAACTTTTACGTATAACCAACTAAACACAAAAATTATATTTATATGCTTTATATAGTTATAATTTATAAAATTGCGTTTTATAGTAAAATTAAATATGTATATTTTATTATATATGTACAAAAGAAAAAAAAATAGTTGTATAATTTCGTTATACATATACAAAAGAAAGTATTTTATGAGTAAAATTATGTTTCGTCTTTTAAATTATTGAAATTACTATATTACCCATACTCTTTATACAAGCGTTCAGTGATAGCATTTTACGAGTAAAATTATGTTTATTCTTATAAATTGTTGAAATGACGATATTGCCCTTACTCTTTACACATAAATCGCATTCAGTAATATCGTTTTAGAGTAAAATTATTTTTTTCTTACAAATTGTTGAAATTACTATATTACCCCCACTCTTCATACATAAATCGCGTTCAGTGATAGCGTTTTGCGAGTAAAATTATATTTTTTCTTATAGATTATTGAAATTACGATATTGCCCCTACTCTTTACACATAAATCGCATTCAACTATAGCGTTTTATGAGTAAAATTATGTTTATTCTTATAAATTGTTAAAATTACGCTATTGCCCCTACTCTTTACACATAAATCGCGTTCCGTGATGGCATTTTATGAGTAAAATTATCATTTTCTTACAAATTATTAAATTTAATATATTACCCCTACTCTTTATACATAAATCACGTTCATTGATAGCATTTTATGAGTAAAATTATATTTTTCTTATAGATTAATAAAATTACGATATCACCCCAACTCTTTACATATAAATCGCTTTCAATGACAACGTTTTATGAGTAAAATTATGTTTTCTTATAGATTATTGAAATTACACCCTACACTTCATACATAAATCGATTCAATGATAGCGTTTTATGAGTAAAATTATGTTTTTCTTATAGATTATTAAAATTATGATATTGTTCCTACTCTTTACACATAAATCACGTTCAATAATTGTGTTTTATGTGTAAAATTATATTTTTCTTATAAATTATTTAATAAAAACGTATTAATCGTTAATGAAATGCTAAATCGTTTTTTTATATGTTTAATAGATTTAATAACTTTACGTGATACATAAGTTAAAACAATTGACATGTGAGGTTACAATTAAAAAAATTATATTATTATATGTGAAATTGATGTGATTGAACCTCTGTTTTTTATTTTGAAAAGATAATTTGATGACAAATCAAGAGTTTGACGGTAAATCAAAAGCCCTACTATTTACCTTGTTTAATCAAACGATCTGAAAAAACAAAAAAAAAAAAAAAACGATCTGTCTGCACCATATTTGGAAATAAGTAATTTGTTATAACAAATTATAAAATTTATCATAAATTTACAATTTAAACTAACTCATTATTTAAATAGTTTTCCTTTTAAAAAAAGTATAGTAATATTGTTTTCATGGTTAAAAGAAAAATTACTAAAATATCGACCATATACATTCTTCAGAATGATCTTCAATTTAATCACACCATTCTTTTCATAAAATTTTGGCTACAAAAGAGCAACTATTATACCCAAACAAATATTATAAATGGCATCATACAAAAATTAAATTGCTGCTCTTTTTATTTTATTTTCTCTTCTTATTTGTCAAGTCAAAAATAATTATTACGATATCAATATTGAATATCATATAGTTATATCAGAAAAAAAGTGTTTACAAAGAGATATATTTAGCTATACAAACAATATTAATATAAAAGTTCTCCTTCTAACTATACAACAAATAAGAAGCATTATTAAATTCCCAAATTATGTAGAGTTTACACATACAAATCAATATTTGAATAAAGAATGAAAAAAATAGTTTTTTTTTTTTTTAAAAAAAGAATCCTAATTAATGCTTGTAGTATCAATGTACATATAAAAAGAACTTTAGTCTTCAACATGGAATGCTAGCCCTAAAAAATCCTAAGAAGCCATTATAAAAGCATTTTTTTTATCGTAATATCTGAATCAGCTTTCATATGAGGTTATTTAAGGAATATGTAATCCATTAGCCAAAATCGCTTTTGCTAACTCTAACAAATGAAACAAAACCACAATAGTTGAAGTGGGCACACTTAATGCAATGAGCCCAACCATACCCAAAACCAAGCTTGGCCTTGTGTCCATCAATTGGGCTTGCAATAATCCCATTAACTCACAAATATTCGAGTCGTAATCCATATAAAGACTCTTCTCCCAAGCCATCCATTCAATAGGAGGCTCGTGATTCGTCTCTACCATCTTCATCTCATGGATTCTCTTTCGAAGGACTATTAAGTTCTCGTCTACACGATGAAAATCATTAGAGTTGTAGTTTTGATCATGTGCTTCTCTTCTTATTGCCAACGTCGGAGTTCTTATCGAAGCTTTCGATGACCTTCTTTTTGGTGAAAATTGTAAAGGAAGAAGTAGAGAAGAAGTTGATATTGTTATTGACATTTTGTGTTGAAGAATGAGTGTTTAATTTTTGTAAAACTTAGATATATGTATATATATAGATATTGGTTTCATGTGAGGGTATTATAGTCTTTTAGCAATAAGGTGTGAAGCATATATATCCGCGTGAAGCAGCCAACTTGATTTGGTGCGCGTTTTTTCGCTATTGATTTAGAAAAACGTTACTCGTTCCGTTATATATTACTTGATTTTATATATTATTTAAAATATTTTTAATTAAAGATTTATTTTATTCATTTTTATTTATCTATTTATAATCTTCCATTCCTAAAATAATAATTAATATGATAACTTTTTAATAAAATTATCTTTTTATAAATTAATACTCCCATAATTTACTTTTATTTGTCGAGATTTTAAAAGGATTTTCACGTTTTACTTGCCGTTTTTAATCGTATTAAATTTTTTAAAATTATTTTCATGTTTTATCCTTCACACTATTACTTATTCTCCAAATTATTTTTCAAGATCTAATAATATTAAATATCAATTAATAGAGGTTGTATACTAAAAAACTCATGTCAATTTTTTTTTTAATGATTATGCTGAATCCAAACAAGACAAATAAAAGTATATGAAAAAAAAATACTTACGTAATTATTATTGTCTTTAAGAACATATTTTTAAATACATGTAATAAAAATATGATATCAGAGGGTACGACTATAATTTTTTTTTAATTAGAACCCATCATTCCAAGATAGTGATTTCCTCATCAAATCATGAAAAGTCAAACCAAAGATTATAACACATCAAATTAAAATTAAAGTTCCTTGGAGGATAGCGTTTCGTATCAAGAATTTTTTTTACTCAAGACACAAATCTGAATTTTTTGATTAAAAAAATGTATTTATAACGGTTAAAAAGAAGAGTTATATATGTGCCTTCAAAAATATATGGTTGTGTTATATACAATTTTCTAAATCTCGTGATTTGAAATTAAAATAATAAAATATATTATTCATTTATTTTAATTTTATAGTCTTAAATAACATATCATGTGAAAAAAACCAAGAATTTATAAAGACTCAAAAAAACCATCTTTTTAAAAACAAAATAAATAAATAAATAATTTTTAAAAAAATCATCAAATGATTAAATAACTAACAAGTTCTTCTCCTATTTTTTTTTGACAAGGTCTTAGAACACACTAAAAAAAAGAACATGAACAATTATACTAGTCTATGCATATATTTCTAGAATCAGAATAATTATTTTGACCATATCTAAATTATGATTTAAAAAAAAAAGGTTTCTAGAAAAAAAAAGACGCTATTTTAAAAAGTGAGAATTAGATTAAAAAGAAGTTGTTTTAATTAATGTATAACAGTGGAAATATTGAAACTCTAATCTAGAAGTTTATTATATTTGTTTTAATTAATGCATGGAGTTTGATTGTTAAAATCCTAAAATTAATTTAAATTTTGTATAAAATGCTTATAATAAACAATTTGAATAGAGTAATTATAGATAAATCCCCAATACAATTACTAATGATTACTAACCTTATAAAAGATGATAGTACCTAATTAAATTGCTTCACATGTCAAATTAAAAAAATAACGTCAAAAATATTTATACAACCAAACAAGAAATGTATTTTTTATAACAATTTCTTAATTTTAATTTCATGTATCTCTAGTTTATAATCATATATTAAATTTAATTAGATAAATAAATTAAATTGAAGGAAATATAATTAATTAATTAATTAATGCATTTTGGAGCACACAATCAATATACTTCACGCTAAACTTAATGATGTGACTAATTTGGCTCATTATTGGCTGTTTCTTCTTGTAAAACACGCTTTTGCCATCCTTCCTTATTTCTTAAATACACATTTTCGGTTTTCGTCTCAATTTATGTAGCGATATTTATTTTATTATGGATTTTTTTGTTAATATCGTGTCAATTAAGCAAAATAAAGTTATATAGTCATAGATCTTCTTATTAAAGTGAAATTATTTTTGAATAAATATATATTCTGTTGATCTTATTTTATGTGAAGATGTTGTTCGGGAATCAGTCAAAAATAATATTTTGTTAATTACTTTAGCTTGTATTAACTTGTATGATTTTTGGTATAGTTTTCAAATATGTATTTTAATATTTGTACACTATTTTCACATAAATTAAAATAAATAAAATATAAAATTCTTTATGAAACAGATCAAAGATATACATACTCTTCTACGAATACTAAAAAAAAAAAATATTCTCAAAGGATTTGGTACAAAACTAAGCTTTTCCTAATCTTCAAACTCATCTTCCACTTAGTACAAAACAAATAAAGAATCACTAAAGTAGCTTATAAATGAATAAAAAATACAATTCTTTTCAAAATTTCTTATCGAACGAGCATAAAAAATTGAAAAAGATCACCAATTACAGTTCTCAAGAATTCAAAACCTATCTCATCATGTGTAGGCCTTGTAACGACAACATAAATAAATTCAAGATGAAAAATATCAGTTTCATTCAATTCAAAAACATAGTGTAATTATAGAGATAATTTTCAAAAACATGTCTTTAATTTACAAGTTCAATATCTCAATTCTCAACCATGCAATGCTTGTGTTATTCAAAACACATTTAACTGAACTACATTAACTACTTATCAAAACACACTTCGAAGATGACTGAATCAAGTGTTTGAATATCATCACTAAAAGTCGTGTGATAACTTAATTCGTGCATAACATTTCATCCAGTACATGTCAATAAGCTAACTCATTAATTTCGAAACGTATTTTAATAAATAAATGGTTATAGCTCGTATAAAAAATTCAAATACTTTGATAGTGGATGTAGTGATATGGAAAAAGATGGTTAACTTATTTCTTTGCTTATTTGTGGAAGATGTTGGTAATTGATAGTACTAAAGCTAAGTGACAGCAATGAATATGTTTATGCATTTATCTTAAAAAAAAACAAGTATTTCGAAAGATACCACTAGTTTATAAGTCACGAAAAATAGTGATTAATCGTGATTACTGATTGATTATAAAAGTTAATTAGACTAGTCGTCAGATAAAAAATTGAACATGTTAGTGATGGTGATTTGAAAAGAAGTTTCTTGATATTTTAGAGCAAAAAATAAAAAAAGTGTCGAGCATAATTTTTGTATCACTATAATATTTTCCGTTTATTGAGAGACTAAATATAAGAGCACCTCCAACCCTAAACTCTATTTTACTCTCCAAATATAATTTTTTTTTCTATATTTTAGTTAACAAAATAATGATATGGATGAGTCTTTTTCTCACACAAAAATAACATAGATGAGTTGAAATCTTAACAGAGACATAAATAATTTTCCCCCCTCAAATATTAATGAATTCGTTAAAACAAATACAACAAAATTTATTCTTTTATAGGTGGGATACATATATATTATATATATAGTGAAATAGTTGTTATATTATCAATAGATTGTCAAAAACAATTAAATTTATTCAATGTATACCATAGTATAGATAGTATTCCAATCTTAATTTGTCTTTATTTGTGTTATTATTAGCTTAAAATCTTATCAGAATAAAATATCAAACTACTTTATTAACTCACATAAAAACTATGATAAATCACCTGATCGACTCCTCAACTTCTTTAAAGTTTCCTACAAGAAAGTGTTGGAAAAAAGGACACATATTTATTTCTCATTTTCCTAAATTAATCGAGATATACGAGAGTCGATCCGAACATTACCATTTTTTAAAAAAAAACCCTAATGCATATACCACATAAGAGAGCCCTAAAAAAAAATTCTAAGGAAAATTCCTATGAGGGCAAAGGGACAGTAGTGAGTTAGGTAAAGCTGTTCCTCTGTCCTAAAAAAAAATCGATTCTTTAACCCAAATTACCAAATTCAGATCGATTTTCTCAGCTCAGAAACTTCGAAAATCCATTTCTATAGACACCCTTTTCCTTTTTACTGAATCTTGGCCATGTCTTGTTCAATATTTTTGCTCATTTTTGCTCTATTAGTGTCAATCTTGGAACAATCGGTTTCGGTTTCGGTTTCGAACGGATCGCAGCGGGTGATTCTTCGGGCGATTAGTGGGCAAGATGGTGAAAAGCCTGACTTTGCTGTTGAATTAAACGCCACCAACTTTGATTCAGTACTCAAAGAGACTCCTGCACCTTATGCTATTGTTGAATTTTTTGCACACTGGTTAGTTATTTTTACCTTTTTTTGTCAATGGGTTTTGCTGATTTTTTGAAAATTAGAAGTTTTTTGGTTATTGCTTTATGTAATCTTGTCAATTGTAACAACCCCTTTAGGCCTAAATTAGTTTTGTTTATACCCTGTGGTGTGCTGAGGAACTTGGGTTGACTGTACTCATGGTTATCTATGTCTTAGTGGTGGGGATACTGGGTAAATCTGGCCATAAATCTTGTATATGGGAGTAAAGTGGCCTAGCTTGTTTTACCACATAAGGTATTTGAACCCTTATCTCACGTGATTTTAGTTCCAGCTTGGTTGTCCAATAGGCTTTTTTCGAGAAATACGAGACATCTAAGTTCATTGATAACAAAAAGAAAAAAACGCAAAGGGGTTTGATTGATAATAAAATAGAATGCGGGACATTGTTCAAATGATCATGGGTCCTATTGGAAAAACCAGTGAAGATCCAAATTGGAAAGTGAAAAACATTCATAGTTGGAGAGAAAATTGCTGGTGCTGTGGTTTTAACATGTTTATATGTATTCAAAGAACAGAAAAATGTTAATTTCAATAGTTGTTGGGAGAAGAGAAGTTTTGGAATGACACATTTCATTTCATGAGGCAAACTTCTTTCTTCCTTGTCTTGGTTTTGGTTGCTGGACATGTTAAGAGGATCTTTGGGGAACCATGTACTGAGAGGGAGGGAATTATAAAGATCGTAGCTTTTTGGATCTGAGTATTTGGATTCGGTTTGTGCCCTATAAAGTTTGAGTAGTCTGAATATAGACATTGTAATGACGAAAAAGTTTTA